GTCACGACTCATGCAGCTGTAAGGTTTTTTTTTTCTTTTGTTTTTACTCGCGATATTTACAACACGCATTACATTACGTATTTCATGGCACACTCGTTTTATGCGTATTTGGCGCCACCTAGTGTTGTGGGTGTATTATTGACATGTCAAAGTCTAGACCCGAATATAAGACGACCGCGTTTTTTCAGATGTATTTCCAAGAAAAAAATATCGTCTTATATTCGGGTCAATACGGTACTCACGGTTCGGTTTCTATCACGGTTTTAGAGTCACGGTTTTGGTACGGTTCGGTATGTGTTATGTTTAGGGAAAACCTATACTGTCAAATAAAAATAAAGAAAATAAGAATAGTCTACCTAACTACAAGCAACAGCACAAATAAATACAATAGAGTAAAGAGACAAATAAAATAAACAGGGATTTTCATTCTTTTTTTAGGTAGGTCTAACAGTTTTTAGTTACAGAAATTGTATAAAGTAATTAAATGTAAAATAGTATTGCATATTTTACCGTATAAATTAAAGATGAATCTTTATTAAAGTTACAAAAGCTATTCAATAAAGAGCAGCGAGTGATTTCCTTGTTGTTGCTTTATGATTAATATTAAGAAAGTGCTGTAATTTTAAGAGAATGCACTGATACAGTACGTTCAGCCGGCTGTGTCTGCTATAGGATATTTACCAAGACAGGCATTTTGACATAATTTTTGTGTGAATTTGTCCATTTAAACACAATACTTCAGACCATCAACAGAAACGTACATTAGCCGAACCCTGTTTGTTTTACATGAACCGTTCCACCCCTACCAGCTACTGTTTGGTTACCCACATTTTTCAAAATATCTTCGTTTATGTTCAGCACACAAAAGATATTAATACAGATTTGGGACAACATGTGAGTGAGTAAATAATGACAGAAATTAAATTTTAGTGTGAACTATCCCTTTAATGACAGTCGGCAGCAGGTTTAGCACTGTCCTTTTAAGACCTGCATACATCTAATATGCAGGCATGCATCCATTTTGTTCTCAACTGTTCCCACCTGCTGCTATAGGATATTTACCAAGACAGGCATTTTGACATAATTTTTGTGTGAATTTGTCCATTCAAACACAATACTTCAGAGAGAGCTTAATATTTGAGCGCTTCAGATGAGCTCATGCTCAAATCTTCTCACTGCGCGCGAGCTCGCGTCCTCTGGCTCTTAAATTTTTAAACTGGCAAACATTACAGTACTCGGATTGAACAAGAGTGAATGGTTTGTCCATGTTTTTTTTCATCGCTGTTGTTGTAATGTATTGGGAAGC